GAGAAAATTGTAATTTTATCGTTAAGTGGCATGTAACCTGTGAGAACTAGATGGCTCAGTTTTATTCCCTGGTTGCATAGGAGCCTGTATTATGCTACAACTGTCCTGTTGGGATGAAATGTTCCCAAATTCCGAAATTTTAGTTCTGAGATGTTCATTGTGTTGGGTAAGATACTTCTGACGATGCAGTGAGAAGTTTGAAACATGTGGCTGGTGTTAATGTGATATATTGTTGAATCCTGAGCTGCCCATTGCTTGAGGTATTTTAGTTGCAATCACGCATGTCAGCACGTAAAGTGTGGTTTTGGTTTGCCCTTATAAGCCAAATCACGTTGACCTGGAGCAAATTTTTTCCATGTATAAATATTCCGTCTAGAAATAGTAAGTGTATTTGACCAGCAGTTTGAAAAGTCATATTAAATAGATTTTGACGATTAATTTCACTTATAATGTAGTAGTTAAATGCTAAAACATGCATATAATTTGACAAGACTCTCTTTAGCACGTGATTTTTTTCTTCTGTTTCTATGTTTTCCTGTGAAAATGAAATAATTCTTGTGTTCCAAGAAGCCCTTTTTTTATCAAAGTTTATAAGATTTGATTTTCCTCTACTTAAATACTTTCATCATTCTTGGATGGAGGAAGTATAAGTTTGAAATTTTCTAAAATGCAATAACGAGTAACGCTTCCAAGGACTCAAAAGTTGAATGTATGTAACAAAGGAAAAAGATCTAAGTAGGCAAAAAAAGTTAAATATACTCTCTCTATTCTAAATTATAAGATGTTTTAGCTTTCTAGAATTCTAGATACAATGATTTTATTATATCTCTAGACATAGCGCATATCTAAATAAATGGGGAAACTATTTTTTTTAGATGAAAGGTTGCCCATGCTTTATATTACCATAAAGCATTCAAACAGCGTTTACGCACAGCGTATAGGCGCGCCCGCCACAGTTAACGCACAGGTTCGAAACAAAATGCCTAAAGGCCAAAAACAGCAAAATTAACTCCCAGGGACAGATTGCGGAATATTGGTGCCTTGATCAAGCATTGAATCACTCCGAGTCGCAACGTCGAAGACCTGTGCCGAGGACTGAAAATCCGACGTCTCCGACCCTGATTGCACTTCCCCACTCCAACAGATTCTTGGCGGCATGTTTGCCTTTGCCTCCACTTCCTGAATCACCGAGTCCAACCAGTCTCCCAGCTCTTGATTGTACATTGGCCTCCACCTCCGTAGGGTCCTGGTGACTCCCAATAGCACCGCTTTTTCCCCTGTCCAAGTAAGTCCCTGAAAGCACAATTTGTTACGAAAGTTCCACAAACACCAGAGCACAGCTGAGGTGACTATATTAGTATTGAGATGCTTCTTATGAGCAAGCCAAAAAGTAGCCAGGAACTCAAAGTTCCAATTACACCTCAGGTTTAAAAGTTTAAAACCTCTGCTATCACAAGCCAAGTTCTTCTAGCAACACAACAGTCAAATAACAGGTGATTTACAGATTCTAACTCATTGCAAAATAAGCAGGTTTTATCTGAAACCTCTCTTTGTTTGGCTAAGTTGTCTCTAGTCAGAATCTTATTTTTGTAATTAACCACAGAAAGATTTGAATCCTTGGAGGAACTTTTAATCTCCAGACTGTAGAGACAGAGACAGGCACCACACCTCTATTGCTAATAACAGCATAAAGCGATTGGACCGAGTATTTGCCATTGGAGTTAAAGCACCAAATAATCTGATCATTATCTTCCTGTAAGTTAACACTCTCTACTATGCTTAACAGATCAAACCACATATTCATCAGATTCTCTGAAACCACGCGTCTAAAGGACAGTGTGAGAACCTGTCCATCCCAAACTTGACTAATGGTTTTACCTTGCTGGCATGGGGAAAACTATGCATGTAGAAAAGTCCCCTTCCCTCAGTCACTTCTGGGGAGGATAGGAGGAGGCAGCATGGTGAGAGCATGAGACCACACCACAACGGCTATATGGGTGGTAGGGATCTTTTTTATTTACAATGAACGTTAGGGATTCAAGCAAGGAGAAGCAAGGTGACGATTGGGATCGTTGGGCTGCCCGGCGGCCACATCAGATAAAACTCGGCGAAAAAACCAACTTGAGGCGTGTTTCTTTGGCAAACACAGGTGTTCTCCACGTTAAGGGCCTAGGTCCACCCATCGGATAAATAGTAATCAACCAAATGTGTTTGATGTAGAATCCAATGGTGAAAAACTAGGTGGTAAAAGGATTTAAGGTGAGCGATATTTTCTGTTCTTTCACTCTTTTATAGCATATGTGTAGATAGATAGATACTCAAAAATAGTCCCAAAACATCTCATTTATACAACATCACATGTATGCTATATAAACATAATATATATCTCAGAATATAGGAAATAATAGAAAAAACATGAAAATGAAAAAACAATTAGTTAGAGTAAAATAAAGAAGAAGGAAAAAGGGAAATAAAAATGAGTCATGTGATGAAATATAAAGAACAAAATAAAATAAATGAATAACTTAATAGGAAACAAAATTAATAAAATATATAGCAAACCATAAGGGAAAGAAAAACAATAAAATGGAAAAAGGCCACGTAGTAAAGGAAAGTAAAAAAAAGAACATAACGTTGAAAAAATTTAAAAAGTTCTCAAATAGAAATATAAAATAATAAAAAGATAGAATCAAACGTAAGGAAAAATAATAAAAAAGAAAAATCCACATAATAGATGAAAATAAAATAGAACATCACATTAATACTACTTAAACAAGCTAAAATACACCACATAACATTTTGAGTACTCCCTCCGGTTCTCTAAAGCAAGTCGTTTTAATGTTGTCTTAAGTCAAATATTTTAAACTTTGACTACAAATAACTTCTTTTGGGTTGAGTTTGAAAATATGAAAGTGATGTAAGTAGATTCGTCTCGAAATATAGTTTCATAAAAGTATATATTGACTATATTTTATAAATATTTTATAGCAAAAAGTAGCGGTCAAAGTCATTTCTTAAAGACCGTGTCGATATCCAAAACGACTTGCTTTAGAGAACTAGAGGGAGTTCTAGATAAATAATCAAATATACATAGTGAAACATGACATTTATACTATACACTATATGAATGCATTAGAATATCCAATGAAACATCTCATGAATATAATGTGAATAATTGAAATATGCCATAGAACATCACGTGGATACTACACGAACATCGAATGTATTTTATGGAATATAGAAAATAAAAAGTAAAACATGAAAAATAAAAAATAAATTTTTTGAGTAAAATACATCGTGGAAAAACCTGTACACATGACTACATGGTCCGTACCCGGACCTACCCATAAACCAGCCCACGGCAAACCGTATAGGGAGAAACCGAGCGGGTTGGTTTGCGACGGTTCCACACCGCTCAACCCGATGAGGTCTTTGATATTTCAGATACGGCTCGTAGTAAGACGTGGCTCAGATAATACGTCATCAGTGACGGGTATATTGGATGTGCGGCTGTTGACTAATTTTCCAGAGACGGTTCTCTTCTCACCCGTCTGTACTACTTTATCTGTGACGCTGTCTAAACTACTGTCTCTAGTACACACGTCTCCTTTGTTGCTTTTCTGGCCTAGTGCGACGCCGACGAAATAGTCAGGCGACGTGCCCAGCGCCGCTCGACAGCGTACCCCGTGCGCGCACCAACGGAGGGCAGAGGCACAGCTTCGAGGTCCTGTCCAACGCCGGCTGCTGCACCTTCAGACGCCCGCCAAGCCGCGCTCGCGTGGTCGGCAGCGGCGCCGTGGCCACGCACGGGGAGGAGCCGGCCTGGTCGTCCTGTGTTAGCGTCTCCAGCACGAACTGCGTACGGAGGGCTCGAGGCGGGCGTGGTGTTGCCTTGAAGCCAGGAGCGGGCGAATGGGGAGGATCAGAAGCAAACCGGCACCCAAGGGACCCGTGGGTTAGAAACCGTTGGCAGATAAATCTTGCGGGTTGGGTTGGGCTTTATCCAAAAACTGGATAAACCGGCTCATGAACAGGCTAGTGAGGGTCTGTTTGGTTCCAAATAAGACACATACTTATAAGTTAAAAAGTGAAAAAATGACTTATTTTGCCAAACACCATCAACTTATAAGTCACCCCTACTTATAAGTTTTAAGTTGGTTCACCCCCTGCTTAAAACTTATAAGTCACCCTTTTTCGCGTGGGGCCCACATCTTTAATGAGCTTATAAGCCATCTACAACCAAACATGCATGACTTATAAGTCACTGGTTTTCAGTCACCTGACTTATGAAAACCAAACAGGCCCTGAAACATCCCATACATATTATGCGAACACCAAATTTAAAATAATTGGTAAATTATTAGAAGAGAAGAAGAATAAAATTTATAAGAAAATGAAAATGAAAAGAACAACAATAAATATCAACGGAGAAGCTATGAAAAAGAAATAAGACTTGTAATAAATAAACAAAACTAGAAGAAAAAAGAAACCGTGAAACGTACGTACGCGTGCCTAGGATGGATGTGGACACGAATCGGACACTAGACACGTATATATAACCTATATTAATTAAATTACCAGAGGCTAGGTATTCCGATTTGATGTGGATCAGAGTCGGACACTGGACACATAATAAACCTATTAAATTACGGGAGGCTAGGTATTCCGATCCGAAGCGGATCAGAGTCGTGCATCGAAATAATACATTATACTCAGGTCCCAGGGTGCTGGTGTTCTTTTTCGATCGTTGCATGCATTGCGCGCATTGGTGAGAACGATCGATCGAGATACAAAGTTTTTGCAAGCCGCCATCAACATCATGGTCCTCATCGTTGGAAGGAACGTAAACTAGCGCCCAGTTCGTTTTTGCTCGTTTGAGTTATAAGCCGTACTTTTTCAGCTAACGAATAATATTTTTCTTTTACACTAAATTAGTTAATAGTATTTTTAGTCATAGCTTATCAGTCAAACAAGTCCAAACAAACAGGACATAGATCATGATGGAATCCATTATTAGTCGATCAACGGAGGAAGACTTGCTACGCGAGCTGCCCAGTGATGTCCTAGTCTCCATCCTGGAGAAGCTCAGCCTCCGTGACGCGGTCAGGGTCGGGGTCCTCTCCCGGCGATGGCGGTGTCTTCCCGCTCTGCTCCTGAGGCTTGCCCTGGATATCGCCTCCTTCTTGCCAAGCGATGCACGCGACTTGGACGACCACCATGACATCTTATCCGAAGCGGGAGATAAGCTGACTGACGTGGCGACGGCGCTGCTACAGTCTAAGAGGCCGCCGGCGGGTGGCAATGATAATAATAATCTCGACGACGTCCACAACACGACTCTTGCCATGAGATTCTATCTTAGACACAACTACATGTCGTTGGGACGCCTACTCGACGCCGCCGTCGCCAGCGGCAAGGTGCACGCCACCGAGTTGACGATCACGATGACATGCCGCCGCTCGTTAGACGACGACGACGACTACGAAAACTATGAGCGCTCTCTGGTCGGGCACGGCCGGCGTTTCAGGGCTCTCTTCGATGCCTGCCCAGCAGCTTTCGGAGCTGTGACCCAGCTCACCCTAAAGAAGATGAGACACGGCAAGCCTGACTTGGCTTAGATAATTTACTGTTTTCTTGTGTGAATACATAGTAAGGAAAGATGGTGATGAAAAGACCCTCTACTGTGTGTATTGTAGCCGCTGTAGAGGTAGGCGTCGAACGGCTCACCTGCCGTACTGTAGCCACATGCAGGGACAGGCGCAGAAGTCAGTTCTACTGTGTTATCTAGTCACTGTTGCAGCAGGGCAGTACTATGACTAGATTGATAGAGTTGTATATATAGTTTGCCACTGCAACTCAACAAAAGAGAGTTTAGATTTACCATCTCCTATATAGGGCTCCGGCCAACGCTCATGTTTGTACTATGTGTGTATACTCTGTTCTCCTTCTTCTTCTACCTCTAGCCATAGTGTGTGTGGTCGGACAGCCTTGGTCGTGCTCAACCGTGATTGACAAGACTGACGAGTGATCGATTCATCTGAGCCGGTGATCCTGTGGCCTAACAACTTGCACGACATTCTCACTACCTGCACAGGGCTCGAGAAGCTGTCCTTGCATAGCTGCGGCCCCAGGGCCGGTGCGTTGTGCCGTTGTGGGATGTGCAGCACGCACGGATTAAAGACATCAGGATCTACCTGTGCGCCATCCGTGGCGTCAAGCTCATATGGCTTCCCAGATTGGAGCGCTTCACTTTGCAGGGCTGGCTCTTCACGACTGATGGGCTTGTATCCTTGGGTCATGTTCCACGCCTCACCGCTGTCACCTTGTCTGAAGACATCGGCCATAACGAACAGACTCTCAAGTTAAGCCGCATCCTTACCAACAGCACTGCACTTAGGGATCTGCGGCTCAATTTCAGAGACAGTAACGTAAGTAGCGTAGTACGTCTTAAGTTTCTATATACCCTTTGTTTGTTTCTTTGCAAAATAAATACATATACATACTCGATCTAGTACTAGTTATTGGCCTCGTTTGGCTGGTACAGAGGAAGTAATGTTCACGACTGATTTTCACTGTTTACGGATGATTCTCTCTCACAAATTCCTTCAAATTTCTCCAAAGTCCTCCAAGCGAACGGAGCCATTAGCAGTAGCACGGTGCGTTTCTTTTTCCAAAATAATAACAATATAGTTTGTATGTGGTTTTCCTAATCAACTTATATATTATCATTTATTAATTGCTTTGGCTTTATTAATCTGTGCAGATCTGGGTTCAACCAGAAACGTCAAGACGTCTGACAAATGTGTTTAGCAACCTCAAGAATTTAAAGATCCGTAATGTCCACCGGGAGTGTGGCCTTGCTTGGATCATGTTCCTCCTTCAGTCTGCCCCACACTTAGAGGAACTCTACATTAAGGTATTGTCTTGTCTAATACATACACGCGTCCGTTTTTGGTATACAATTAATACAGCACAGAAAAAGCAAGCATATATATACATAGGAATACATATTTGGCTCAGAAAGTTATTATTGCTCAACCAATTCGTGGCTAGCTCCTATAGATGCATCAGTCAATATATAGATATTATTATTACAGAATTGACGTGCGCGTACTAGCTAGTTTACTCCTGAATGCTTATTATATTACACTACCTTTATTCTTCTGGATTGCAGCTAATGGAACATGATTGCGAAGAATTTGCCAGAAAGAATGTGCCGTGGGAAGTAGACACCAGTTTCAAGCACTATAGTCTGGCCAGGGTCGCAATTCTTGGCTTTTACCGCACCGAAGAAACAATCGTCGCATTCATACACCATATAGTAGAAGCAGCGGTTAACTTGGAGGAGATACGCATTCGTGAAAACGTGGCGTTCAGATGTGTCATCTGTGGACATATGGAGCCGCCTGCTGGGTCAAGGTTCCCGCAAACGAACCAAGACAGAGATACTTTTAGGAAGAGAATCATCAATGACGATGGTAGATCGACTGCGGCTACTGTCAAAATATATATTCAATTAGGATAACGGAAACATGACCATGCAAACTAAGGCCTCGTTTGGATACAAAATATTTTTGGAGTTTAGAAAAACACCATGGTTTTGTGAAATACTTCGGTTTTAGAGTCCATGAAGTGTTTGGGTGCAACAAACTTTAGCTTTGAACCATAGTATTGCTGAAACTGTAATCTTTTTGGAGTTTTTATAACTCCACTCTATATCTTTTTTTTCTTCTAAACCACGGTTTTGCATATCAATGGTTCTAAAACTACAATTTCTTGATATTATGGTTTCTTAATACTACAACATCCAAACAAGGCCAAAACTTGAATAAGCTGTTTGGGTTTTTTAGAACTTATCCATATGCTCGTATTTTTTAAAATTTAACGATGCGGGAGGTAGAAACCATGGCCCCGTATGGGTTGACTGTTGAGGGACTTAACTGCAAGGGGCATAGTATCTGCAAAGGAAAAGGAACTGAAGCAGAAAATCCATGCATAACCACTTCCTTTTAGGATAAAAGGATGGAACATGGTCCCGCATGTGTTGAGTGTCGGAAGAACCTAACTACAAGGGAATTAAAAACCTCATGGGACAAAACAAAATGGCACGGTGGCATATCAGCAAAGGAAAAAAAGACCGAAGCAGAAAATGTAATTGTTGTGAGTTATGTGTTGTTTTAATAAGAAGATAAAAGAGATAGGGTAAGTTTTATAGTTGTTTTAACCAAATAATTTACATCTTTTTCACGGCAATAACTCGCTACAATTTTTTCCACAACTTATAGCTGAACCAAACAGATCTGTAAAACGTCTCTTTATTTCTACCAACTTGAAAAAGCATAAAGCCAAAAGTATGGTCCAGGTGCTAAAAAATTATACTATATGAAAGCAGTTGCTTCTAGAAAAACAGCTTCTGATTTAAACCATTGGTTGACATTGTACTGTCGGCTCTAACCATTTAGTTGACGTTCTACTTTTTGATAACAGAAACACTTTCCAAAGCTAAAACAAACGAACACAGCCTGAACATTGTCTCTGCCTCCGCGTGGGTCATGCGCTCCGCACCATATATGTCCATATTATCCGGTCCGCCTACGAGCTGCCGCTTACGGCCCAACGTCTACACGAGCTTCAGGAAACACCTGTACATTTTGCACATAAAAGAGTAGAGTATTCGCTAAAAAAGACATAAAAGAGTAGAGTAATTATGCTTTCAGCATAAATTGCGATCACTATACAGGTATTTCTATACAGACTGGTTCTGTACGCGAAACTGATAACTCAATTCGAAGGTTTATGCTGCCTCTGCAGTCTGCACGGGGAAACCAAATTTTCATATGCAGCTTGCAGCTAAAAGGAAAGAAAAACTGCACGTGGAACGCATTGTCGATAGTAGAGCACACAATTGCTCAGCTAATCAACAAAAGGAAATGGGGAGAAAATGACACTAATAAATTGGCAATATAAAAGTTAAAAGAAATGCTGCTTATGTACATTTGTCATTAGGTGCCCAAGCACAAGCGCAATCAGAGGGCGTGCACACACGCAATGGTAAAAATATAGAACCTCTGAATTCTCTATATACCTTAAAAACGGAGGGGAAAAAACCCTGTAAGCTTCACGCTATAGTATCTAATTGACCCTTGATTTTCTACACATGTATGTGATTTCTATATATTTCTTTCTTTCTAGCTGTAAATCCTATGTTGCTATATCTGTTATGATCAAAGGAAATGGAGTGCGTGAATATTTTGCAGGTTGTGGTATGGTCACTGTTTACACGCTTGACAATTGAAAGATATCCTGAAGAAAAAGGTTGAGCTCTTGAGCCGATCTCCCAACCTCGCCTTGCCGCCTGCAAAGGAAATGCCCAGAGACATCAATTAGTTTAGTTCATTGAACTGAACAATGTTTTGAGGTTTCATGGGATACTTAAGAGGCTAGAGCCATTGAAGTTTACTTTGTCAGAAACTTGAGGCTGGCACTCACGTTCTTCAGTTCTTGGAAACATAGATTGCACCGCTCCAACCTAGCAAGATATGCGCTCATGAAGCAAGTCCATTGAATGCATGAAGCAGGAAGGAGAATTCATTACAATTTTCAATGAGATGAAAGGATGAAAACACCTCTGCTCTGCCTCAAGGTCTACCCCAACAGGTGGTGTAGCCGACAAAGCTGAAGAAATGGTGGAACCAAAGCTCTTAACGAGACTGAGAATCATCCCCAAGGCAATGCTCATATGCCTGCGTTGAAAAGTGTCAATGCACATCGATCAACTACAGCCTTTCACTTTTGACAAAACAGTTACTGTTGCAATGTACACTGTCTGTCATTTTTCATACTAGTAGCACCATATACAAACTGTGAAAATGAACTTAAAACAGTGGAAGGGGCAGTTAAAGATTGCACAATCGAAAAGCTTCTAATTAATGAGGCTACTAGTGTTAGTGTTACCATCAGTGAAGGAAGCTGAGTATACCATTGGGACTTTCCTTTTTGGGAATGGGTACAGCAGGACATTGATACATGGTCGCTAAACTGTTTGATTACGATCCATATCCATGGAACCATGGAATCCATGACTCACGTGAATTAAAAAAGTACAGTCGTGCAAATGTAGTTTTAGTGATGCAGAAATTTGCTGTCATAGCCTTAATTCCTTGAATAGAATAGCCAGCTAGTGCTAAAATTAGACTAGCCTGAACCATGAACAGCATGTCATATCTGCATACTCAGATCTGTACATGTCATAACTTGAATACAATGGCCAGCTAGTGCTACAATTTGACCATACATGAACAGTATCTCATATCTGCATATTCAGAGTTCCATCTCTTTTTGAGGAAGGGACATATTATAATCAGATTTACTTCCCATTACAAGGTCCAACTCTCCAAAGAGCATTTAGTCAGCTTTTAATCAAAATAATCAGCCAATGTTCAATAGCAAGGTCAAATTTAAATGATCTCACAATTCTAATATTGATAAATTAAGAGGAAATATGAGAAATGACCTGTCATATGTGCTTTCAAGAAGACTGGCAGTAAGACGTAAGAGAGAAGCGCAAGCATCTAATGAGATACAGTTCTTATTCTCCATTATAGCGCTAACTATATCAGTAGTGACCTACAAGAGTAGAGAACATTCAGAAATTGTAATGGGTGAAACTACAACAAAGGAGTAGAGTACATACAGCAAAATCCGACATTCTCCATGTAGCATCAATAGATCCTTTTATATCATTTCTTTGCCAGCACCGGTAAACCACCTGCAAATATCACATAGAGACTACAATTACTCAATACATATAACGTCCCACAACAGCAAATGGATTCTTGATAATTACTCGATGGATGATCTTATTCTGGATCCCTTAATACCTCTAGTTTGGTTAGCCGAGACTTCATTACATGAATGAATTCTTGATGGTTTTCCATTAGACCAGACATATCATCTTCATCACTTGCAGATGCACGAAGTTTTCCAGAAAGTGAAGGGCGCAGCCTCTACAGAAAACAGTAAATACGAGGTGCATAATGGGTTCCATATAAAAAAAGTACTATTGGCGCCCAAAATGACACAATCTTGGAAGTAAACATACCGAGCTGTATAGTGTTGTCACATACTGGATGCTATCAAAATTAGAAGAGGAAGGTCCTGTTTCAACCAGAGAGCTTGGTGATAATTCTGAAGGAGACTGAAATCAATAGAACAATGTCAGGTCACTAGATCACTTACGGTCGTCAACAACATGCTTTCCACTTGACTCCATCAGTTGGTTTATTCCAATCACTTCATTTCTGTGGATGCTGGCAAATTCTGGATTCCTTGCAGCAGCAGGATTCCATTTATCAAAACTAGTTACACTGTACCAGTTACCAACTTCATTAGACTCAACACTCTCAGTGCACATCAAACCAGAACAGTTATTGTCCCCAGCACCTGAAGATTCTCTTATAAATTTCCTCTGTGATGAACTAATAGGTTCTGACAGAGGTATAAGCTGTTGCACCTCTTGGCTTTCTGGAGCTCTCCTTCTATAGTCAATATCTGAATTAACTCTCAAACTATTTTCTAGGGTTACCTTTTTATATCCTACATCATTAGTGATTCTTCTACAGCCAACTTCTTCAACCATCTTTGAGCTCCTTGAAATAACTACAGGTACCAACTTGCCATCTTCTTTGCCATGATTGGCAGCTAAACCTACTTTTTCTATATTTTGAGGCTCAATATCTGCTAACTCAACTGTGGCTGCTTCACTGAGAACGGGACCAGCATCCTTTCTAGGGCTATGCCTCGGGGCCAAAACAGGTACAGAAGATGATTCCATAATACCATACCGAGAACTATTAGACCTTGACCTATACATGGGAGCTGCTGATGCATGCGAACTGCGAGACAACATTCCAGCATCTGAAGAGAGATTCACTTTAAAGCGGACTATTGGTTCTGGTAATGGTACAGCAGCAGCTGGCTGATTCTTCCGTCTGTCAATGAAATTTGGGTTCAATCTAACTCTAGGAGAAAGAAGAGGTGTAGAAACAGATCTTGTGAGCTGGAGATCCCTTTTTCCAGGTGGCTTTGACAATCCCTTCGTTGATGCAGAAGTTGAGACAGGAATTTCTTTTGAAGCAGACATTGAGCGTCCAAGCAGAGTTTCCGATCCAATTTCATAGGCTGTTTCAAAAAGTACAAAAACATATCTGGTTTTAGAGTGCACAGATAACGAAGAGATCTCATAAGAAAAGTGTTTGCTGCTTTCAGTACCTGGGCTTCTGGAAACTGATAGCCTTCCAAACACTGATGACATGCTATCATCTGGTTCAATTAGCCTATTTACACTTCCATTTAAGCGTGGTCCAGCACTACTATCAACATAAGGCTCATTTCTCTGAAAATTTATATATGTACCATGTCATAAAGAAACAATTCAATTGATAACATAGTAAATCATGCATAACACGTCATACCATCAAATCCACAACCCACACACTGACACAGTTTTGGTTATATGAGCAACCAAGAAGTTTCCCTTCATCTACAGTTAGATCTGCTAATGTGGACCAGCCTACATCAACCACATCATGACATATGATGGGTTCCCAGGAAAGAACCTACAAGCAAAAACATAATGACCTTTGTTCCACTATTATTTCCTGAAGAATGAAATGAGGATCTTGATAAATCAGTTGGATATGTACCTTTAAGCTTTCATGTAATCCACAAAAAATTGTTTTACCATCACTATTGAATTTCATAGAACGAATTACACTAGCCTGAAAATTGAGGACAGTTACCATTAAGCAATTGGTTATCTGATTACAGATCATGTGCTTTATTTACAGCAAGCCTGTCACCCATTTCCACACAGAAATTCCAGTCACAGGATGATGTGAAGAAATTGGTGATCAGAAACCATACCGTCTCAAAGTATTCCCGGCTGTTCTGCATTAAGCAAGAAAAGGTTAATTATATCCGAGAAAAAGAAAAACAAGGTAGAGAATGGACAGTAACATTAGATTCTTCTTCATCAGATTGAAATACAGCAGATATATGTGCCACTATCTGGTTTGCAACAATCTAAAGAAGAGTAAAAAAAGTGCATACCAATATACCTATTTTTAGAGTGCCAACAGTCTACAGAAGAGTAAAAAAACTGCATACCAATATACCTATTTTACAAAACCTCAAACTTGACAAGTTGTTTCACAAACAAAGTATTATGTTAATAATAGCTATTTCACTAAGAAAGTTTTTCATATGGTGCAATGTTTGGTCTGAGATGCTGCATTATATTGGTAAATTTCGTTTGTTCATTGGTACTATTTCATGATCACAAACATAAAAAAAACTGGTACTTCATGCTGCCTTTATGTGTTCCTTGAATCCTTGCGATGGATCATACTTGGGCAGAGTGGCAAACAGACTAAGGTTGGAAAAATCATAATATTTTTGAAAAAAAACTCATAATGGTGGATCTTAGTTCGAATATATTTCATTTAATTCAAGCATATGATCAAATCATCTAATGCTTAAATACAACTTTTTAAAATTGTAGCCTTCTCGAAAAATAGCTTTTTTCCAGATCACTATCTAACCTTGGGTTCAAGAGCTATATTGATTCAGATTTTGAACATAGAGTAGTTTCAACTTGGGACATGAATGATTCATTTTGTGAGTCGTTATAAATAGATATGGTACCTCAGGTCCAGAAGAACCAATCAACTCAAAAGTCTCAAGGTCCCAAAATTTAAGAGTCTTATCAACTGAACCTGCAAAGTTTTTTGAAAAGGACAGCATGGAATATGTTACTTAGATCTCCAGGTGATGTACAAATAAGAAGAATGAGGGAGAGGGACTAATAAGTCCGCAATAAAAATAATAGAAATATTATTTAGAAAATTTGACATCCCAGGAAAAAATCACTACTGTGTGAGTATATAGGACCTGTAATCTAACCTGTGGCCAATAAAAACTCGTGGGGGTGAACATCTAAGCAGTTGACTGGACCTTCGTGAAGACGAAAGTCATGCATGAGTTTTCCAGCCGTCAAATCCCAGATCTAGCAAGATATTTTAAACAAAATTTCAGTGATCAGGAAATATGAGGTAAAGTTTTAATTAATGATAGTACAAGATTGTCCATCTCGTTGACAACAGCCATGTTGTAATTTGTAAGACACCTTAAATTTTTGGGTTCTATGATCTTCGAATATTTTGCATTATAATTAACGGACATGCTCAAAATTTTACCTTCACTGAGTTATCAGCCCCACCAGAAACAATCCATCGACCATCAGGAGTAAATTTAAGCACATTAATTCGTCGAGTATGCCCCTTGTATGTGTGGATGCATCTCTTCTTTCGAGTATCCCATATTTTCATGTTTGTGTCTGAAGACCCAGAGGCTAAGAATTCTCCAAAAGGATGGAAATCAAGAGATGCACAATTTGATCTGTGCCCAGTGAAAGTTCGAACAACTGCATATTGTGCAAATCGTCAATAGAAACTGAGATTATTGCATGACACAGTTGCAGTTCATGTTTTTAATGCACTGTTGAGTGTCGACACTGGTTAATACCTTTCGCCTCCTCAATATTCCATATTTTTATCGTTCCACTTGCAGCACCAGCACCTATCGTAACTTCAGAAGAGTCAAAGCTTACTGACTCAACTGGACTTGTAAAGCCTGATAGGCTCTGCAATGTACAATGAAAATCACTTGAAGTAGATAACTGATT